GAGTTGGACTACGGGACTGCACCCAGGAGATCCACTGGACATGATACTTATATTTGGGGACTACAGGACGGTATCCTGGGAGATCCCCGGTTGTTATCTCGGAGTTGAGTTATGTTCTATTACTGTGTTTTGCTTACCTTTGCAATAGTTGTTGTTGTCCTTTATATATGTGTTATTTAAATACACTGTCATTTCACACTATTAAACCTATATCTTATTTAACCTCAGTAGGGCCCTGACCTTCCTCGTCACTACCCAACCGAGGTTAGGCTTGGCACTTACTGAGTACCGATATGGTGTACTCATGCCCTTTCTACGCATGTTTTTCATGTGCAGATCTAGGTACTTCTACCCAGGCGTATCACCCTTGAGGCAGGGAGCATTTCGGAGACTTCGAGGTACATCTGCCGCGTCCGCAGACCGAAGAGTCTCCTTCTTTACTCTATCTGTAGTGTTAGCCCTTCTATCGTACTATTGATGTAGACATTTCTGGGGATTAGAGCACTTTACTGTATTCCTCTTAGCTTGTGTTCCCGTGAGTTTTCGGGTTTTGGGATAGTAATGTAGGATGTTATGATGTGGAGTTGTAAATGCCGAGCAGTATTTTATATACTGTTTCTCCTTTAATTTTTTCAGTTTTGACTATTATTCCGCAAATTAGTTATGTTTTCCGCATTGTTAGGCTTACCTAGTTGTATAGACTAGGCGCCATCACGACATGTTCACGGTGGCTGAACTGGGGTCGTGACAAGTTGGTATCAGAGCTCTAGGTTCATAGGAGTCACGGAACACAGGCCAGTTTATTAGAGTCTCGCTGATCGGTACGGAGATGTCTGTACTTATCTATGAGAGGCTATGTAACTGTTAGGAAAAATTCCACTTCATTTGATTTCCTTGTCGTGCAAGATTTTGATGTCACAACTAAACTTCTGTCTTTCTATTCTCTCACAGATGGTGAGGACACGCACTACCCGAGAGGATCAGGCACCCGTGCCCCCTACTGCAGCTGTTAGAGGCCGGGGCCAGGGTAGAGGCCGAGGACGCGCTCGTGGTGCAGCTAGAGCACCCGCGCGAGCTGCCATTGAGGCACCACCAGCAGTACCAGCCGGAGTCCAAACACCCGATACGTCTGCCGCTACTACTCCAGCACTCCAGGAGACTTTGGCACAGTTTATGAGTATGTACACCACTCTGGCTCAGGCAGGGTTGCTTCCCCTTGCTGCAGCCACATCCCAGGCCGGGGAGGAGTACAGACTCCCGCCGCCCGCACTCCTGAGCAGCAAGTGCATGTTGAACAGGCCCTAGAGGTTATACCTGCACCGCCTGCAGTACCAGTTCAGCCCGAGGATAGGGCCGCGACTTCAGAGGATGAGCAGCGGAGACTTGAGAGGTTCAAGAAATATGATCCTCCGGTATTCAGTGGGTTAGCATCAGAGGATGCCTTGGATTTCTGGAGGAGTGCTACCGTATTCTCCGCACTATGGGCATATCAGGATCGAGCGGGGTTTCCTTCACTACTTTTCAGCTTCGAGGAGCCGCCTATCAGTGGTGGCGTGCTTATGAGTTAGACAGTCCGGACGAGGCAGCTTCCCTGACTTGGGCTCGATTTTCAGACATGTTCACGAGGGAGTATGTTCCCCAGAGTCTTAAGGACGCCTGGCGCACGGAGTTTGAGCGGTTGCGCCAGGGTACTATGACTGTCTCGGAGTATGTTGTCCGCTACATTGACTTGGCTAGACATGCCCCAACTTTGGTTTCCACGGTCCGCGAGAAGGTTCGCCGGTTCATTGAGGGGTTTATTCCCAACATCAGATCTAGCATGGCTCGTGATTTAGGGACGGATGTGTCTTATCAGCAAGCGGTGAGCATTGCTAGGAAGATTGAGGGTGTGTATGCTAGGGATAGGGAGGAGAGGGAGGCCAAGAGGTCTCGAGAGTCTGGCCATTTTTCTGGTGCCCGTGCCCCAGCTGCAGGTCATCATGGTAGGGGTCATATGGGTCGCCCCGTTCATTCAGCTCTTCCAGCAGCCAGTGATATTCCAGCTCCACCTAGGCCTCAGGAGCCTTATTATGCACCTCCAGTCTCTAGTGCGCCTCCTGCACGGGGTGCTTCCAGCGGACAACCCAGCAGACCTGGCCCGAGCCAGTCACATCCGCCACGTCCTCCCAGGGCTTGTTTTGAGTGTGGTGACACACGCCACATGGTGAGAGATTGCCCCAGACTCAGGAGGGGTGCACCTTCGCAGACCCCTCAGCCACAACAGGCCTCACAGAGCTCTCAGGCTATGGTTCCAGCACCAGCTGCCACTCCACCGGCACAGCCAGCCAGAGGTGGAGGTCGGGGAGGTAGATGTCGCCCTCGAGGGGGAGGCCAGTCCAGATATTACGCTTTTCCAGGCCGTACTGAGGCTGCCGCCTCCGATTCTGTCATCACAGGTACTATCTTGGTTTGTCACAGAGAGGCATCGGTTCTATTCGATCCAGGCTCCACTTACTCTTATGTGTCTTCTTATTTTGCTCCGTATTTGGGGGTACCTCGGGATTCTTTGAGTTTCCCAGTTTATGTTTCTACTTCTGTGGGAGATTCTCTTGTTGTGGACCGCGTTTACTGGTCATGTTTGGTTATTCTTGGCGGTTTTGGGACCAGGGCTAACTTATTATTACTCAGCATGGTTGATTTTGATATTATTTTGGGCATGGACTGGTTGTCGCCCCATTATGCTATTCTTGATTGTCACGCCAAAACCGTGATGCTGGCCATGCTAGGTGTACCGCGTATTGAGTGGAGGGGTGCCTTATGTCAAACTCCCAGTAGAGTTATTTCTTTCCTTAAGGCTCAGCGTATGGTTGAGAAAGGTTGTGATGCGTACTTAGCTTATGTAAGAGATGTCAGTATGGATACTCCTTCTGTTGATTCAGTCCCAGTAGTACATGATTTCCCCGATGTGTTTCCGGCTGACCTTCCGGGCATGCCACCTAATAGGGACATGGATTTTGGCATTGATCTTTGGCCAGGCACTCAGCCCATCTCTATCCCTCCGTACCGTATGGCTCCTCCTGAGTTGAAAGAGTCGAAGGAGCAATTGCAGGAATTACTTGATAAAGGTTTTATACGGCCCAGTGTATCGCCTTGGGGTGCTCCTGTGTTATTTGTGAAGAAGAAGGATGGTTCTATGCGCATGTGTATTGATTATCGCCAGTTCAACAAGGTTACAGTGAAGAACCGTTATCCTTTACCTCGTATTGATGATCTGTTTGACCAGCTTCAGGGCGCACGAGTGTTTTCTAAGATTGATTTGCGCTCAGGTTACCATCAGTTGAAGATTCGGGAGCCAGATATCCCGAAGACTCCCTTCGGGACTCGGTATGGTCATTACGAGTTCCTTGTTATGTCTTTTGGGCTGACCAATGCCCCAGCAGCCTTCATGCATCTGATGCACAGTGTATTCCGGCCATATCTTGACTCTTTTGTCATTGTCTTTATTGATGATATTCTGGTGTATTCCCGGAGTCGGGAAGATCACGAGCAACACCTGAGGACAGCGCTTCAGACTCTGAGGGAAAAGAGATTATATGCAAAGTTTTCAAAATGTGAGTTTTGGTTGGATTTCGTGCCATTTCTGGGTCACGTGGTATCGAGTGAGGGCATTCGGGTGGATCCGAAGAAGGTAGAAGCAGTGCAGAGTTGGCCCAGACCATCTTTGGCTATAGAGATTTGCAGTTTCCTTGGCTTGGCAGGCTATTACCGTCGATTTGTGGAGGGTTTTTCATCGATTGCAGCCCCTATGACTAGATTGACCCATAAGGGTGCTCTATTTCAGTGGACGGAGGAGTGTGAGGCGAGCTTTCAGAAGCTCAAGATAGCCCTGACTACAGCCCCAGTTTTAATATTGCCTACTGCTTCGGGGTCTTATTCTGTCTATTGTGATGCCTCGAGAGTTGGCCTTGGAGCGGTATTGATGTAGGACGGTAGGGTGATTGCCTACGCGTCCAGACAGTTGAAGATACATGAGAAGAATTATCCTGTCCATGATCTTGAGTTAGCTGCCATTGTTCATGCCTTAAAGATTTGGCGTCATTACTTGTACGGTGTGCCTTGTGAGATATATACTGATCACCGGAGTTTGCAGCATCTGTTCAAGCAGAAGGATCTTAATTTGCGTCAGAGGAGATGGCTAGAGTTGCTGAAGGATTATGACATCACTATCTTGTATCACCCGGGCAAGGCCAATGTGGTGGCCGATGCCTTGAGCCGCCGAGCAGAGAGTTTGGGGAGTTTGGCTTATTTACCAGCAGCAGAGAGGCCTATGGCGATGGATGTTCAGGCCCTAGCCAGCCAGTTTGTGAGATTGGATCTTTCGGAGCCCATCCGGGTTCTAGCTTGTGTGGTCTCTCGGTCTTCCTTATTTGATCATATCAGGGAGCGGCAGTATGATGACCCTCATTTGCTTGTCCTCAAGGACAAGGTGTTACATGGCGATCCTCGAGATGTGACCATTGGTGATGACAGAGTATTGAGGATACAGGGTCGAGTTTGTGTACCCAATATCGATGGGCTTCAGGAGTTGATTCTAGAGGAGGCCCACAGTTTGCGGTATTCCATTCATCCGGGTGCCGCGAAGATGTATCAGGATTTAAGGCAGCACTACTGGTGGAAGCGGATGAAGAAGGATATAGTTGGGTTCGTAGCTCGGTGCCTTAATTGTCAGCATGTGAAGTATGAGCACCAGATACCGGGTGGATTGCTTCAGTAGATAGAGATTCCGGAGTGGAAGTGGGAGCGGATTGTTTTACCTGATTTACCTATTTGTAAAAGGAGATTTCATTTGATTCTTTACGGTTTTACTGTTTTAAGTAATTTACTGCCTGATATAGAATTGCCTTGTGCATTTATGTGTTTTCATGCTTTCAGCCATTATTTATTGTTATTACTCACTGAGTTGGAGTACTCACTTTACTCCCTGCACCTTGTGTGCAGATGCAGGTATTTATTCACCCGGTAGCGGGTATTGGCTGTATGAAGGCAGAGCTGTAGGAGTTTAGCGAGGTGACTGCCAGCGTTCGCACCACGGTTTCTCTCCCTGTTGTTCATTATTCCTGTTCAGTGTATTTTTAGACTTTGTAGATGTAATTACACTCTTATAGATGCTCGTGACTTGTGACACCCCGGTTTGGGCTGTGTTTGGGTTGTACTTCCGCTAAGTAATGTTATTGAATCACCTTTAAAATTGATTATTCACGTTTATCTAATTTTGAAAAAGGCAATTTAGGTTGGTTGGCTGGCCTTGTCTTCACGAGAGGCGCCATCACGACTGGAGCGGGGTTTGGGTCGTGACAAGTTGGTATCAGAGCCTAGGTTACTAGGTGTCACGAGTCATGAGCAGGTTTAGTAGAGTCTCGCGGACCGGTACGGAGACGTCTATATTTATCCTCGAGAGGCTGCAAAACCTTTAGGAAAACTTCACATTCTTGAATTTTTATCGTGCGTCCTTGATTCAGCTTGAAAAGTAACTCTTGAAATTCCTTCCACGCATTCGTATGCGCGCATGAGCGCTCAGTATCAGATGTGCCTTGATGGCTTATGATTCCCTATCGGGGGCGAGATGTGATCTCTGTGAGTTGATGTTGGGCCAGTCTGGAGGACTTGAGGTCGGATCTTTGCCTATGGCTTGAGCACCGAGGTGCTGATTGAGTGAGCAAGTATTTTGAACTTTTATGTTCGCTAGTGTCCCCGTTAGTGGAAGTGACGGCCGTGGCTAGGTGATGAGTATGTTAGTACTGCGAGATGTATCTATGTGACGTGGGAGTGACGAGAAAGGCCTGATGAAGGATAGAGAAATTATTAGGTGCTGGAATTCCATCTTGATTTGAGGTATAGCCCCGAGTGATGGGCGTATGAAGGATCTTTTCATGTTTCCCAGTTGATGGTGAAGTGAATTTCATGTTGCGGGATGAGTTCAGACTCAGGAAGACTAAGTGACGGTGTAATGTGTATGACGGTGGAAGGTATACAGAAGTGTTATATTGAGGCGGAGCAGGTGGGTTATCTCCTGCGGAGTGTTCTGAAGTGGTGTGATCCTTATGTGTATGTTAGAAGATCTCATGTGTAATTGAAAAGTACGTGTTGAAATTTGAAATTTTGGGTCGCTTAAGAGAGTGGGCTTAACTGTCGCGGCGATGAATGCGAGAATTGCAGAAGATTTACAATATTAGATGATATGTGTTTTCACAAGCTTATAAATGATTTGAGTTTATCTCACTATGGTATTGTGGCATTAATAGAGTAAAAGTGTTATGAGTTATTGAGTGTATCTTGATCTATGGCTTCGATCCAAGTGGGGGAGTCTGCTGTGAGTAGTTGATTGCACAGTTAGGTGCTATGTTGGTTCCAGTTTGGGGCGTGCGAGTGAATTATCTATGGCTAGATTAAAGGAAAATTTTGACAAAGGTTATATTATGCTTCATAGGGTATGAGAATCACGGAATGTCTAGAGTTGTTGTTGGTAAAGAATGCTCGGTGCGTAGAGTAGGAAGTTGCTTGGTTGTATTGGGATGAGGATTTCATTCTGTGGTGTCGGAGTGCCAATAAGGCACGGGTGGTTCTGTTCGTTGGGTTAGGTAAATTGCAGTTTGAATAAGAGTGAACGACTTGTGAGAATGGTTCTAATGTGTCCAAGAGTCTGCGTAAATCAATTGAGTGTTCTAAAGTTGCATATGTGGTTAGAAACTGAGTTCCATTGGAAGATGTCAAGACTTGTGGTATTTCTATGTTAATTATGGGATTCTATGTATCAGTATCAGGAAAGTAAAGGAAACAAAGTTAGATTCGCAGGAAGTTCTTCAGAGTAAGGTATTCTGGGATGTGGTGTTTCTGGGAATATCTCAGAGAGTATTCAGCGGTTTATGGGTTTCAGATAGTGTGGTTTTATGCTTGGGTCTCATGTGGTATGCCTGGGTTGAGGAATTGTGGTACTACATCAAGGGGAAATATCAAGTTGAAGACGAATCAGAAGAAATTTGGATAGATGGAGTAGCTTGATAGTAGATCGGATCGGCATGGTAAGGATATGATTAATTCTTTGTCGGGGTAATGAGTTCGTACAAGTATTTTCGTAGCAATGCTTTGGGGTTCCGATGGCTTGCTTAGCTTGGTCTAGTTAGAAGGATTCAGTTGTGGCAGTTTAGTTTGTGCAAATGGAATTGGGAGAGTTCTGGTTGATTTCTACCGTAGTTGGAAGGGTGCATTTTCCACGGATGTGAGAGACATGGGATGTGTAATGATTTTTCTTCTAGATGGGATCAATGGAAGTTCTTGGCTAGATAAGTAACAGTTCAGTTCTGGAAGGGGAGTCCATAAAACTCTTAAGCAGCGGGTAGCCTCAGATAGTTAAAGGAATGATATTTCTAATTGGAAGTGATTTGATGGGGTATTTAAGGTGTCATATGCTTTCGGACGGAAAATTGGGATCGGGATGATTCGTGTGCTATATGGAGTTGGGGACTGGGAGTTCTCATACGCAGGCTATGTTATGGTTATGGACCGTATGTATCGGCACCGTTTAGCGGCTATCGGGATTTGGAGGCTCGAGTGGATCTTTCTTTGCTGGTTTGTTAGATATTGGATGTGATGTTGGAGTTCAAACTGGTTGTCTCAGTGTTGGGTTATTCTGGACTATTGCGCTATGGGCTATGCTGGAAACGCAACTGGTTGAGTGGCGAGGTGCGTCGGATTATGTTCTAGCAGAGTGGTTTATATTTCAAAGACCCAGCGGACGGCTGGGAAGGATTGTTTTTCTTAATTGGGCCTTTGTGATGGATGTCAATGTAGGGGTTTCTACCATCGACTCAGTTCCGGTGTTGAGGGACTTTTCGGATGCGTTTCTTGTGGCCGGGCATGTCGCTGGGCGAGGTTGTGGATTTCGGTATTGATTTGGTGCCGGGCACCGTATCGTATGGCTCCGGTAGGAGTTGTAGTAGTGGAAGGAGCAGCTTCAGGCTTCCTTGATAATGAGTTCGTTGGCAGGCTAATGTGGATGTGTGTTCTAGCTTGAGTCGGCTTGGTTGGCCCCGAATGGTATTGTGAGGGATAGGTTGATTCGACCGTTATTGAGCTTGTTAGTGATCTGGGGAGATCTATGGGTTGCTTTTCTGTGTTGTTAGACGCTACGATTTGTTGGTTATGGGCACATATGGTGCGGTTCTATTGGGGTTCATAGTGGAAGTCGAGCGGGGAGAATAATTGGGTGTTGCTCAGTGAATGGCGTATCAGTTATGTCCTATCGGGCTTGCGTGGTATAGGCTACTTGTTTCACCGAGGGTGTAATGATTTGCTTTGGTTTCAGGCATCAAATTGTGCGTGGTTGTCAATTTCGGGCATAGTGACTTGAGGTGTCTCATGTGGAGCAGTGTTTGGATAGGATCGTGCATTGCAGCGAGGCTATGTGGAGATATGACCTTGCGGGTTAGATTCGTATGTTCTATTCTATGATGTGAGATGGGTTCTCAACCTTGTGTTGTGGTGGTACTGGTGAGCTTGTGGTACAACTCTTTCATTTGAACCATTTTCATGATTTGAGTGTGTTCGGACCGTTGCATATTGGTGCGCGTATTATGCTAGTTGTGGCTTAGGCCTCTATTGACATGTCATGTCACCAGAGTGGTGTGTTGGATTAGAGGAGATCGTGGGGATCATTAATGAATACGAACGGATTCGATTTCAGCATGTTGGAAGGTTAATGACGAGGTTCGGCTCGAAAATTTGTTATGGTAATTGCCAGAGGAGAAATGGCTTCATGAATGGTTGATCTAAGAAATGGTTATGGTTTATTGCATGTTTCATTTATCGTTGGCAGTATATGAAAGTGTTGGAAATGAGGCTTTGGCTAATAAGAGGTTTTCTATCGGTATTTGGTTATTGTAGGCAGCTGTTGTGAATGGAAGTTATCGCTGCATGTGTTTGAGTTATGTGGTATATCATATAATTGCACCTGAGGTTGCAGGCATGGGCTATTACAGCTGGTTTGGGACTATTCAGAGTATAGTTGTGAGGTTCTGATCGTATTGATGGTTTCAGAAGTGAAAGTGTGGTTCTAGGTTTTATGGATTAGGATGGATTGTGAAAATTTCAGCTACGTCGTGTTATCGAACCTATATGAGATAGGGTGACGTGGGATCACCCCCGGGTATATACATGGTAAGGTTATTCAGCGAGTGTTTGGCTTTTACAACAACTCTGGGAACGTTCGAGGACGAACGTGTGTTTAATTGGGGGAGGATGTAACGACCCGACCGGTCGTTTTGAGCTTTTGCACTTTGATTGCCAGTTCTCGGGCATGACTTGCCCCGTATGATGTGTTATGACTGATGTAGAATGTTGGTTTTGGTTTTTAGGAAAAATCGGAACGAATTGGAAAGAAGAGTCTCAGTTGAAAGTTTTGAATTTGAAAGGTTTGACCAAGAGTTGACTTATTTGTATATGAGCTCGAATCGGTGTTTTTTTGATTTGGTTAGCTTCGGGGGATGATTTGTGACTTAGGAGCGTGATCGGAAGTGATTTTGGAGGTCCGGTGTAGAATTAGGCTTGAATTGGCGAAGTTAGTATTTTGGCGAATTCCGGTTGATAGGTGAGATTTTGATTCGAGGGTCGGAATGGAATTTTGAGAGTTGCTGTAGCTTCGTTATGTGATTTGGGATGTGTGTGTAAAATTTCAGGTCATTCGGAGGTGATTTGGTTGGGTTTTTGATCGAATCCGTGTTTCGGAAGTTTTAGAAGAACTTAGGCTTGAATCGATGAGAACTGATGGTTTTAGTGTTGTTCGAGGTGTTTTGATGATTGGAACAAGTTTCAATGATGTTTTAGGATGCGTTGGTGCTTTTGGTTGAGGTCCCGGGGGCCTCGGGTGAGTTTCGGATGGTCAATCAGATCATTTTTGGCTTTGAGGAGTTGCAGATTTTTTTCATTTCAGGTGTTGCAGAGATTTATCTCTTCGCGTTCGCGTAAAGGGCCTCGCGTTCGCGAAGAAGGATTTGGAAGTTCGCGTCAGAGGCTCGCGTTCGCGGAAGGCAAAGGGGTTGAGCTTCGCATTCGCGTCAACCCGTTCGCGGTCGCGTAGGAGGGGCCTGGGCCCCGTTGGCATTGTTCTTCGCGTTCGCGGGTAAGGCACCACATTCGCGAAGGGTAATTTGGTCAGAGGCAAGTTTTGTTCATCGCGAACGCGAGAGAGCCCTCGCGTTCGCATAGGGTAAAATGTCAGCTGGGCAGAGGGGTTTTAACAACATTTCCTTCGCGAGTCTAAGTTAATTTTCACCATTGTTGAGCATCCTTGAGAGCTTTTGGACGGGAATTGAAGAGGGTTTCGACTGTGATTGATTGGAGGCGAGTCCTATGATCTAAAAACATGATTTAATTGTAGAATCAACCTAGAAATTCATGAAAATTTATCAAAAAGGGGGAAGAACTAGGGCTTGAGTTTTGATAGTTCAAATTTGGTTTTGATGGGTCATTTGAATTCGGATTTGGGAGTTCTTGATATGTGTAGACTCGTGGCGAGACAAGGAACCCGTTGATGTGAAATTTTCTGAGTTTCGTGAAGTGGACCCGGGGCTCGGGTTTTGCTAATTTCGAGATTTTTGCTATTTTTCGATTCTTTTTGATTGGGTTATGTTCCCTTAGCCTATTGTGACGTATTCGTTGTGGTTTTGGCCAGATTCGACACGCGAGGAGGCTGACTTGAGAGTCAAGGGCACAGCGAGCTAGAGAATTGGCCGGCTTGAGGTGAGTAATGATAGTAAATGATGTCCTGAGGGTTTGAAACCCCGGATTTGCACAACGTAGTGTTATATTGAGGTGAAACACGCGCTTAATGACGAGCGCGGGGTTGTTTACTACTGGGGATTGTGACTTGGTCCGTCCCGATTCATATTTTTACCGCGTATTTGACTAAAATGTGTTTGTTATCAACATGACTCGGGCTTATTGCCATATTTTGGGCTTCATGCCGACTACTTGGATCCTTCGTGGACTTTTATCACCTTTTCCTCACTATTTTGATATATTACTTGAACTCAGTCCTGTTGATTAATACTGTTTTACAAACTCAGCCACTTTTAATTGAATTTTGAGATTTAAATGATATTTCCAATGTTGTTTGGGCTGAGCACTACTATTTTACTGATGCCTGAGAGGCTTGTGATGATATCTGGACTGAGTGAGGCCGAGGGCCATATGTGAGGATATGCTGAGTGATATGAGGCCGAGGGCCTGAGATACATTTATATGCCACGAGGTGGCTTGAGTTACGTGAGGAAGCTTTCTGGCCTTGTGAGTGATGTGAGGAGGCTTTCAGGCCTTACGAGTGATGTGAGAAGGCTTTCAAGCCTTATGTTGATATAGCGCTTGGGCCGTAAGGGGCCCCCGGAGTCTGCACGCCCACAGTGAGCGTGGGTACCCATATGATCTGAGAGTGAGCCCGAGGGCCTGATACTATGCTGAGTGACTGAGAGTGAGCCCGAGGGGCTGATACTATGCTGAGTGACTAAGAGTGAGCCCGAGGGGCTGGTACTGTGCTGAGTGATTGATACTGAGGCTGATACTATTCTGAGCGATTGATACTGGGCCCGAGGGGCAGATTACTACTCACTATTTACTTGTTGTTTTACCTGATTTAACTGTTTTTAAAAGGAGATTTCATTTGATTCTTTACGGTTTTACTGTTTTAAGTAATTTACTGCCTGATATAGAATTGCCTTGTGCATTTATGTGTTTTCATGCTTTCAACCATTATTTATTGTTATTACTCACTAAGTTGGAGTACTCACTTTACTCCCTGCACCTTGTGTGCAGATGCAGGTATTTATTCACCCGATAGCGGGTCTTGGCTGTGTGAAGGCAGAGCTGTAGGAGTTTAGCGAGGTGACTGCCAGCGTTCGCAGCACGGTTTCTCTCCCTGTTGTTCATTATTCCTGTTCAGTGTATTTTTAGACTTTGTTGATGTAATTACACTCTTATAGATGCTCGTGACTTGTGACACCCCGGTTTGGGCTGTGTTAGGGTTGTATTATCGCTAAGTAATGTTATTGAATCACCTTTAAAATTGATTATTCACGTTTATCTAATTTTGAAAAAGGCAATTTAGTTTGGTTGGTTGGCCTTGTCTTCATGAAGGCGCCATCACGACCGAATCGGGGTTTGGGTCGTGACAGTTTCGATGCTCCGGAGGTATTACGGTGATCTGTCGCACGAGTTGGATTTTAGCTCAGTTCAGTTGGAGAAGGATCTATCTTATGTTGAGGAGCCAGTGGCAATATTGGACAGGCAGGTCAGGAAGCTGAGGTCAAAGAACATTGCGCCCGTGAAGGTTCAGTAGCGGGGTCAGTCGGTTGAGGAGGCGACCTGGGAGACCGAGTAGGATATGCGCAGCCAGTACCCTCATCTTTTCACTACCTCAGGTATGTCTTTGTGCTCATTCGAGGACGAACGAATGTTTAAGTGTGGCAGGATGTAACGACCCGGCAGGTCGTTTTTGGAATTTACGTCCCGATCCCCTATTAACTGCTTTCCCCAACTTTATTTCTGCTATTTTGATTTCCCGGGAGGTTCGGTTTTGAGTTTCGGAGAGTTTTGGGACACTTAGTCCCTAAATGAGAGCTTAAGTGTTGGAAACTGACCATAGTTAGAACAGTGTGAAGATGGCCTCGGAACGGAAAGCCCCGTTCGCGAAGCTTTACCATTTTCTATCTTCGCGTTCGCGTCTAAGCCCTCGCGTACGCGTAGTGTTATTTGGCACTGAGGGTTGTGCCTATTTCCTTCATCGCGTTCGCATGCACTAGCTCGCGTTCGCGTAGCTTTGCCAGTCCCAGCCTTCGCGTTCGCGTGCTTTTCCACGCGTTGGCGTAGTGCAATTCGAGCAGCCTTCATTTTTCTTCTTCGCGAACGCGAGACCTCCTACGCGTTCGCGATGTATTAAGTACCTGGGCAGATATAAACATTTCAAAACGAGGGTTTAGCCATTTTTACCAAAAACTCAAGCTTAAGAGCTCGGATTTGAGCGAAATTTCGAGGGTTTTTCAGAGACATTGATTGGGTAACAATTCTAAACTCCTTTTTGCTTGTAACCCACTAATCTAAGCGTAAATTCCTCCTTTAATTTCGGATTTTGAATGAAAAATTGATAAAACTTCATTGACCGAATTATTGAGTTTTGAGTGGGTTTTTGGCATCCGATTTGAGAGATTTTTATATGGTTAGACTCGTGAGAGTACGAGGGTTCTGAAAATGTTAATTTCACCCGATTCCGAGACGTTGGCTTGAGGGGTATTTTGGTCAATTTACCTAATTTCGCGTCTTAGCTTTGAATTAAATCGTAGAATCAGTTGCTTGAGATGTTATTTACGATGTGTACTTGAATTGAATAGATTTGGGCCATTCGGAGTTGGATACTCGTGGCAAACGTGTGGTTTCGAGTTGATTTTGGAGCCGGTTCGAGGTAAGTGACTTGTCTAACCTTGTGTGGGGGACTTTTCCCCTTAGGATTGATATTGTGGTAATTGAAATGCCTCGTGCGTGAGGTGACGAGCGCGCACTTGTGCTAATTTTTGGAAATCCGATTTTTCTTTAAAAATAGCCTTGAATTGTGTTCCTCATTTCCTTGCTTACACTGTTTGGGTATTAAACCTGCTGTAGCTTAGAGAAGCATGTCTACTTGACTAAATTGCTTTATCTGTCTTAACTGCCTTAATTGTACTACGTGAACCATGCTAGATTAGGATTACCTGCTTCACTTTGATATGAAATTGATTGGGTTGAATTTTGTTGTTGCTGTGTATTTACTTTGGGACTACGGAACGGCATTCCGGGAGATCCTCCTGCACTTCATGAGTTAGACTACGGGACTGCACCCGGGAGATCCACTTGACATGATATTTATATTTGGGGACTACAGGACGGTATCCTAGGAGATCCACGGTTGTTATCTCGGAGTTGAGTTATATTCTTTTATTGTGTTTTGGTTGCCTTTGTAATAGTTGTTGTTGTCCTTTATATCATGTGTTATTTAATTACACTGTCATTTCACGCTGTTAAACCTGTATCTTTTCACCTCAGTAGGGCCCTGACCTTCCTCGTCACTACCCAACCGAGGTTAGGCTTGACACTTACTAAGTACCGCTGTGGTGTACTCATGCCCTTTCTGCGCATCTTTTTCATGTGCAGATCCAGGTACTTCTACCCAGGCGTATCACCCTGGAGGCAGGGAGCATTTCAGAGACTTCGAGGTACATCTGCCACGTCTGCAGACCGAAGAGTCTCCTTCTTTACTCTATCTGTAGTGTTAGCCCTTCTATCGTACTATTGATGTAGACATTTCTGGGGATTAGAGCACTTTACTATATTCCTCTTAGCTTGTCTTCCCGTGAGTTTCCGGGTTTTGAGATAGTAATGTAGGATGCTGTGATGTGGAGTTGTATATGCCGAGCGACATTTTATATACTGTTTCTCCTTTAAATTGTTCAGTTTTGACTATTATTCCGCAAGTTAGTTATGGTTTCCGCATTGTTAGGCTTACCTAGTTGTAGAGACTATGCGCCATCACGACATGTTCACGGTGGGTGAACTGGGGTCGTGACAATCTCTTTTGTTGAAACTTTATAAAATTAAAGCATCATAGTAATCCATTTAATGCATTTGAATGTAATGAAACTGGCTCTCCCTAGTTTCCAAATGGTGCAGTATGAAACCTAATGATGCAGAAAAAGCAGATTGATTCCTTTTATCCAGTAAGTCCTTAAATCCAAAGTCCAAGCAATTCCTTTTAAAAGCCAGATCCAAAATATGTGGTTTCGGTCGGATGCTACGTTCTCTGATGTCACTGCTCCCCTCATTGACTATTGATTTTATCACACTCAAAATGAAATGGAAGAAACTAGTGCTACAGATGGTCATATACTTAAACTAGTGCTACAGACTTAAAGTCTTCAATTTTTACACAATTTATTCATAAACTCTTGATTCCAACAGTCTGTATAGAATCCGCTGGGCAGTTGCAAAAGGTGGAGAGCAAACTGTTTCTAACGGCTAATTCCTACCCTCTTTTGGTTACTGCATGAATCTGCCGGGCAGTTGCAAACTGTTTAACTAGCAAATCTGCTGGCTACAAGCCTAACTTTTGAACTCTAGAAGGCTCTTCGGGGCAGTTGCAAACTGTTTCTAATAGCTAATTCCTGCCCTCTTTTGGCTACTGCATGAATCTGCTTAGTGATTTTGTAAGTTGTTATTTGATGTTTCTTTCTTCTTGCAGAGAATGTCCCAAAATTAATATTGAGAACCGAAAAAAGTTAAAGAATCCTCACACTGCTGGAAAGAGAAGTTTTGCTTTAGTTCGCTCTAAGTTGGTGTGTAACTAGCAAATTATGGCAAAAAATTTCTCAATTTTTGCTCTTGTTTAGTACATGGTGGATCACCAGGAATGCTAATTCACTTTCATGCGACTAGGAAAACGATAAGGAAACTTCGGATACTTTATCAGCAAAGGAACTCTTTGTAGCTACAAGAAAAAGGAAAGATGGGCGATCATACAAGTGCTCGGATGAAAATACAACTAGTAAAATTGTGCGAATTATATTTAGCTGATGTTATATCGAGATGAATTATTTATTTTTATTAGTTTACTTTTTATTTACTTGTTCTATTTGTTTGAATATTCTTTGAAGGCTGAAATGGAGGAAATTGAAGCACAACAAAATGAAAATGGCAATGAGTCCGTAGATGCATTTGCATCTGTCATGGGGCCTGAACATCTGGGACGTCTGAGATTGTATGGACGAGGGGTTACAATAACTTCTTTGAGAGGGAAAGTAGGATGTTTTGAATCCTCTTCAAATACTACAAATTATCTACAAAAAATGGAGGAGAAGATACAAACAATGGAGGAAAAAATTGAGGAACAAAAGGAACTATCCGTCAAGAAGTTGTTGCAGATGTCCTTGCACGACTTCAGCGTTCAGGAATTGATATTGATGCTAACATTATTCTAGCGGCATTGGGTGATAATTCTCTATGAGAAGCTTCTTCTGCACAACAAGCAACTTTGCAACCAATCCGTCGTCCATCTACTAATAGCAACAAAGAAGGCCAACTCATTCCAGGTATTAATATTGCTTATTTAAAATGAAAAAGTACTGATTTAATATTGCATGAAATAAAGCGGGGTTGTTCTTTTGCTAAGAAATAAACAACTATCTTTCTGTTTTTTTTAGGTTATTCGATTTAGAATTATACTTGTTGATGCCAAGAACTATAATTCTTTTTTCTGTTGATATTTTTCACTTTTCATAATTTAGAAATACTTTAGAAGTTATGGAAAAGACAAAGAAAAAAAACTTTAGAAGTTATAGACAAAGATGTTGAAGCTTGATCCTTAAAAGTAAATCAAGATATTCAGTTTGGGATGTGAAAGCGAGATGAGCAAGTTACATTCGTAAAGAAAGCTTACTTGCAGCATATTTGTTGAAAACTCGAAAGCACCTGAATCATTTATATTAGAATACTCTCTTCCGTCAACTTAAGTGTTTATACTTTCTGTTTTCTATAGTTTCTACATAAGTAAATATAACAGTTCTATGTTTTATATGTTTTCTAGGATAATAGGATTTACCTCTACATGTTTCTGCATATGGTTCGGCATATAGTATTTGTTCTAATTTTCTATGGTTTCTGCATTGCTTCAAAAATTGAGAAGTGAGAAACATCCATATTAGTTTCTGCAGGGATGTTTGAACTAAGCAAATTACCATTGAGCAGTAGTTCTGTTTCCAATTTCCATGACTGACAGTGGGAGTTCTTCATTGTTATGTGCACATTAAGTGTTCTGTCACAGAGTTGTATTTACAAATGATGTTTTGAGCAGGTTGAAAATTTTGGGATAGTCATATTTACAAAGGAAACTCTGCCGAAAATTTAAGAATTTAAATAGTTTGAAAATTTTCAAGTTATCAAATTGGTCATTCAATTACTTTGTGATTCAATATAATTATCCTAAAAATTTTATTTAATTATTTCTCATTGTGTTTTGTAGGTGCAGTGATTGCGGATGAAAGCAGTGAGTGTTGTTGATCGTTGTTAGACTTTCTATTATTATGTTTAAGGATATTTTAGTTTAGAACTTTTTGTATGCAAACTCATCTATTTGGACTTTTGAATTGTTTGACCAAACAATGCATCCATATTTTTTTTTTTTGTACATGGATAATGCTAGTTGGATATGGTGTAAACAATTTCATAGAATAGGAAACTACTTCTCATTTTGCTTCCATAAATATCAGAAATTACAATTTGTTGCAATAGAGAATATAACCGTTCCAATAGACCTAGCAAATAATAAGAGCAGCCCCTAATAACCGTTCCAATATGTTATAATATCCGTTGCAATAGGGGTACTGATAATTGTTCCAATATATCACACAAACCGTTGCAATATATCATGAAAACCGCTGCAATAGACTTAAAAAAATCAGCTGCATTATTTTACCAGGACGGTTTATAACTGTCCCAAATGAAAAGGAAACCGTTCCTGTAGACAGAATAGTGGTAGCAGTTCAAACCGTTCCAGTACCCTATCTGTGGAGACGGTTTGTAAACCGTCGTAAATAACCGTTCCAATAGACCTATTGTAACACTGAATTCCGGAACGGGTCCAAATCCGTCCCATTAGCCCTATAGGAACGGTTAGCTTATTTATTGTAACGATTTTCGAAGGGTTGCCATAGGTTCAATTTCTAGTAGTGAGAGATAGCTTGATGAGTAACAACATACCATTTTGTTGTGTGAACACATGTCTCCTTATGCAGTGTCGTAACTTCATCAATTTTGTGAATCGTTTCACAAATTGTAGTAGCAGGAGTATTTTCTTTTGCGGCTGATTGGCGTATTTCTTTTGAATTAATACGACCTTTCACTTCAATCTGGCAAAATGATATCTGCATTTTTTTATATCAACCAATTCATCATTCTTCTGGTTACATTGCACTGTTGTTGCATATCTCTTCAGTTTAATTTTAAGCATCCTCTCTTGCCTAGCTAAAACTGGTAGAAGCTGCAGCAGCAGTGTAATTTCCGGCTGAACATTCGTTGACACATTAAATTGTTTAACAATAGCAGATAGCAGTTCCATTAAACCTGTTATAAAGTATTGAAAAAATTGAATATATTAAAATTTGAAATGTTTGGTGAAGTCAGATACTAAAAACAAATAGGTTGCAAAGATGGTTATGTGGAGTGCAAATCAAACTGTTCATTCAAAAAAACACAATGGAATATTGACAATACGGATTGTGTAGCGTTTAATCTTGAACAATTTGTAACTGCTATTATTAACAGGCCGTAAAATATGATATTAACACCTAAATGTATTTCAAATAGAACAAAAATGAAAATTTCGGAAGCCAAAGTAAAGTAAAACACACTAAGCGTATGATGTTAACAAAAGTGAAGTGTTAGTAATGATGCTATTTGATTTTTCTTTATGTTTTCTGAAATACTAATTCAACTTTTCCTTCGTTGTTGTGGTCCCTCTTCAATTTTTAGTAGGAAAAAATGAATTGATGTTTGAATGGTTAGCGAATTAGGAAGAGATGGCTATCATGAGTTTGAACCAAAGTAGAAGGAGGTATCGAGTTCGTCTCGTAAAGGAAATGTGAAGAGTATAATAGGAGATAACCGTTGGGGAATTGGTAAAAAGATAAAATTAAGTCCGAAGTATATAAAACAGGATATAGCCGTTATTGATTTGGTGCAAGAAAGTAACTGCCAGGGAGAAGTTGTGTGATGTTTCTCTGAATCGCCATCTAGTCTTGTATACAATATTTGGGTGCTTCATAAATATTCAATTAATATTAAATTTAATACTGTAATTAATAGGAACATAAAGGTTAAGTATTATCTTGTGAATACAAGTAAGAAGCAACATTCGTGGGTTAAAGAAAAGGAGATGGTGTTAGAACTTCTGTTTGATAAGAGTGTGTTAAAGTTTATTTCATATGTGAATGAATGGCAGAGAACAATGGCAAATGGAAATGTAACTTAAGTTTCTGCATCCTGCTAGAGGAAGGGATTTCAACGTGTATTGTTCTCTTTTTTTCATTTCTTTCTCTTTTGTCCTTTCTCAATTGGTGAAACTGTGGAAAGACGGTAATCATAGTAACGGCAAAAGATATTTAAAAAATTTAAATCTTGAAAATATGGATTGTATATAACAACAGAAACTTGCCTGAAAAGAAATACGCCCTTGTTTCATATGTCACTATTTATCTTGCTGCAATTAACAAAACGCTAAAAAAATAAAATTTGCAATCAGTTGATTGTAAAAGTATGAAGTCGGCCTTATGATAAACATTTCAATCAAATGAGTTGAAGTAATAAGAGTATACGAGAATGCTAGCATTGGCCAAATATGACAAAATTTATTCAGAAACTCAAACTGTTTTGACGTAATTTTGTGTTTATGTAACTTTCACTTAAAATGTTCCAACCAAAGCGGGAACATTTTTCTTCAAAGTATGCCAAATTGTGATACTGTCTACACATCATACTCTTCATATTTTAGCACGCTTTGTTTTTGCTTTTTTATTGCAAGTATTTTTTCTCAGTGGTTATTTCATGATGTAAGGTTAGTTTCTCATGCCGTTTTGTAATAACAACAATACGGAAAATAAAGATGATATATTAAAAGTTAAATTCGAACAGTGACATGAAAGGGAGACAATACTATTATAAAATACGTTTACATCAATAAGTTAACAAAAAAAAAATGCAACAATAGAGAAATTTCTACATCAATACAACTTCTATGCAGAGATCATACTGAAAAACACAAAAGAGCACAATAATTTTGCCTACTCTTAAACAACTTTATATTTTAAATATATAAATCACTAACTGTTATAGATGCAACTCATCTAAAATCACAGTATACAGATAGTGTAAGAAAAATTCGCGTTTTTTTTATTAATATCCAAAAAGAGAAGAGTTATACTGCTTTCAGATGGACCTACTAATAAAAGAAAAATACAAAAAATAATCGAGCTAGATAGCTTCACGAAAATTCAGTTGCAATTATAGTAAATGAAGGGGGGGGGGGGGGGGGAGGGAGTTTAAGTTTGATAGCCCAAAGAAAAAGATCAGATAGAACAAATGACATGCATGTAAAACAAATCCAGCAATAAATTATTTAAAATAATAAAAAATTCTTACCTATACTGTACGTATTCAAGAGCGAGCAAAGAAGGGAATTTGGAGGAAGATAGGACAAAACTGTAAAACAGAAGGAGATAGGAGAAGAAATTTGGACTAAGAAACATATATTAAATTAAATTGGACTAAGGTAAAAAGTATCTTAATCTTCATTAGCCCCTTTATTCGCTACTTATAGGTACGTCAACCTGTTGGATATGACACTGATTTGGGAAAAATGTAGGAATGAGAAACCAAAAAGAAAGAAAAAAAAGACATAGTACATGATGCTGACACTTTTCCAAGTTTTACAATGTTGCTTGTGTTTTGAATTATATGTCATGTGAGCACAACTCATGAATCCAGTGAAAAAATAGCGAGATAAACGTGAGAACAGAACAGAACAAAGAGAGGGAGAGGGGGGAGGGAGGGAGGGAGGAGGGAGGCGGAGGAAGGGGGGAGAGAGAGAGAGCGCAGATTAAGGAGCAATAAATTATTGACTTCACTCTTACAACTTTGGATATTCAAGAAAACCAATTCCTAGGTTGCAAAATAAGCATCACTACTATTTTCCTTTCAACAGTGTCAATTGTTTCCAATGGGCATGGCTAAAAGCAATTATTCAATCTATTTCTTCTGCCATACAATCAGTCTTTAGGTATAATAGACGCTTTCGTATGAATGAAATTCACAGATATATGTGTTAGGGTAATCACAGATGTATCTATATTTAAGCTCCTTCCCCCTTTAACTAGACTTTTATGCTTTACATGCATTGCATCTTCTCCTTTTCCTCTGAATATAAAATTTCTCTTCTCCGTTCCTTTTATCGCTCTAACATGTGTGTTGTTGTTTTCTTGGATAAAATTTACTATACAAATTACTCTAACATCCTGTATTGGTTGCTCTTTTTGAATGCAGTTACGTTCACTTTTGCGCCTGCTTTCTAGATGCTCAGATGCTCCTATACTCGAAAAATGTTGCGGCGACACAAGGTTAGCGTACTTGATTACAAATCTAGATTAAATATTTATTTTAATGTTCCTATTCAAAACAATTTTTTTAAAGAAACTGGAATATTGATATGGTTTGTTATTTTGCTTTCCATAACTGGGTGTTCTCTTTTGCCTGTTCTTTTTGCTATCCCAAATTGCAAATGCTCATGCGCTGGTCAACAGAAATACTAAATCATTAATTACGAAATATGAAAATGTAAATTTGAAACTAGAAAGAAAGTGCATGACTTAGATCTAATAATTAAAGAAGAAGAAATAAGAAGAATTGTTGAATGAGAAAGATGGCCGTGATGAAAGCGTATACATACCTTGGACGAGACATATCAATGATTGCATATGATTTCTTGCAAGAGAGTCACCGACAAAGGCCATAGATTTACCTCTGACAAGTTGAGGCTCTGTCACGACCCAAACCCCGGTCGTGATGGCGCCCAACACATTGTTAAGCAAGCCCGACCATTCAACAACAAATCTCAACTTATGATAATTTAGGAATTCGAACACAGATACTAAATTACTAAACCATCTTATCAAACTACTATAAGTACGGAGTAGTATACTGAAAACCAACAAAAAATACTGGAACATAACCCAAAACAGGATCCGGTGTCACGATCACGAGCCTCTAATACAGTGTCATCCTATAACAAGACTGTCTAAGAAACAGAATAATGAAAGATAGGGATAGGAGGGAAGGATCAAGGCTGCGAACGCCATGCAGCTACCTCGATGCTCCCGGTGAAATGCTACTCAGCTAGACAGGTCCTCCCTCAGACTGTGATGCACCTAAATCTGCACACAAGGTGCAGGGAGTAAAGTGAGTACTCCGACTCAGTGAGTAATAAGCATAAATAATAACTGAAGATAAGAAATCACTGAAAAACACAAGGCAACTATAACGGGCAGTACCAAACCTTTAACAGTAAGACCGGCAAATTAATAAAGTAATAGTACAGAAAGAACCATGACAGGTAACAGGTAAGGAATGATGCAATGCAATGCAAATACCGGTACACTCAGGTACCCACTGCGGCGTGCAGTCCGAGCCAACCATATATTTTACGTCGACGACGCTCACTGGGGGTGTGTACAGA